AGCCACTCATCCACCTAATCATTCTCATCTCGGCAACATATTATGCTTCGTTATGCTTCGCTTTTAAAGGCCAACATTCAGCGTCATAGAGCATTGCAGGTCTCACCACCGTCTTATAAAATTTTCCTTTCAATCTAAGCGGTACTTTTCTATCAAGAAAAAGGCTCGAAGCATTCCTCCACTTCAACCAACCAACTTGAATTCTACTATTAACATCCCCATCTATATCACCATCGTTTTGAACAACAGATCCAAGATATCTAAATCATTCACACATTTTAATAATTTGATCACCCAAAGTCACACTTCTGTCACAAGAGCTACTACTACTAAAATTACATTCCATATTTTCAGTTTTAGTTCTACTTAAATGAAAGCCTTTAGAATCCAATGCAGACCTCAATAATTCATGTTTTTCCTGGGCTTTTTCTCTCGTTTTATCCACGAGAAGGATATCATCAGCAAAAAGAATACACCAAGGTACATCCACCTGTAGATGTCCAGTAAGACCATCCATAACTAAAGCAAAAAGTAAATCAAATAAAATCATTTTAATAAAAAGGAAAATAAAATATTAAATTTGAAATTATAAAAAATGATTTTGACATTAGTTTTAAGTCATTTGCATACCAGTCATACTTAGGCGTCATGATTTTCAAAATCATTGTAAAATTTATCTAATAAACAATTGTCTGCTTTATCTTGCATTTCATAAAACCAGACAGACATGATTTTGAGACGATAGTTGAGTTTAGCTAATAATTTTTTCCAGGCAAAGTTATAATTGCAGTAGAGTTAGGCATATTTCAGACTTTTGTGGGATTGAACTATAAGTCACTTTTTCTTACATTTTTTTGTTAGACTAGATTCGAGAATTTATTTGTTCAATAAACCGCATATTTAGCCTTAAGATTTTGAAGTCTCAGCACTTAGACTATCCTACGATTAAATATTATGGGATATAAATCATAAATTTCTAATAAAATGTCAACTCAAACAAATAATTTTTCAATTTAAAAAAACATTAAAGCTCAACAATAAGATAGTTAAAGTGTAACTGAATTTCTCAATATCCAGACATGTCCTATTTGTTTTCCTTTGGGTTCTGATATGAACAGTTCCACATTTATATTTCTAATCTAACATTTCAAATAAACAATTGTAGAAACCAAACTTTGAAATTTTGAAGTCTTAACCTTAGTCTTAATTTAGAATTTAATTAAGAGACTCTATCTCTTAAGATGTTATTAACTTACCGGCTAGGCTTCAATTTATGTAAAGAAATGATTTGTTGGTTTAAATGCAAACCAATCAAATATTAAATGAAATACTTCATATGAAAATTGAATCAGTAGTAAAGTAATATTTATATCTTACGGGATAGTATATTACTTTTGATGTCGTGTTTGATTATTCAATAAATTAAAATATTTAAAATCATTGTAGTGGACACAAAATAAACCAACAAATATAACACTCTAATCTTTAAATCATATGAAAATACCATTAACATTAACTAATCTAAAATAGAATATCTTTCATATGCCTGTTTTGATCTGATTTGGAAACTATAATATTATATAAGTAAATATAAAGATTTCGAAACTAGATATGCAAATAGCTAAGAATTTGATGATATGTATACAAATCTTCCTATTATAAAATGCTAATAATGAGAGTATGAGAAGTATTTATAAAGTTTTGAATTGTGCATGTTATAACCATTTTTTTGTTATGATAACACAATTTTTTGGTAATAGAAGATGAACTCGTGTGACCAGTTCACCTCTTTTTACCTTGGTTATCCATCCTCACCTCAGTTTACCCGAGCTTTCAAGTCAAACTATCATAGTATTGTGGCTATTGGCTCCATAAAACTATCATACATTACTCAAAATAACCCAGACAAGAGAAAAAATAAATTAATAGCAAAAGGTGAAAGATTTATAATTACTAATAAAAAACAACTAAATGACTCGGATTAAATTAATCTTAACAAAAAGTAAATGACCATGAAATCCAATTAACATAAGATGACAAATATCCAAGATAATATGATTTCTAACCATGACCCAAGCATAAATATAAATAGTAAATGTATGATCTGAAGGCTTCCTGATACCATCATAAGCACTATATGTACTTCTAGGACTGACACCCTCTGTGAAAGCCTCGTATTCATTTTTTCAGCCTGCTTTCGACAGTTTCACAAATGTAATCAAGCCCATCTTTCCTCTATTTGTGACATATTTGAACACTGAGGAAGAAATCTTTGCCGCCCATGAATTGATGTAGGAGCATAACGAACATTTAATATGTTGTTACAAGACATCAATCCATCTTGCAATTGTAAATCAACTTTACGATACCTTCTCATGTTTCATATGTATCTTCAAGCATACAACAACAACAACAAAGCCTTAATCCCACAACGTGGGGTCGGCTACATGAATCATTTTTCTCCATTGCGTCCTATTTAGTGTCATATTTTCATTTAGTTCTAGTAAATTAAGATCATTTTTAATACAATAAGCCCAAGTCTTCCTAGGTCTACCTCTGCCTTTCTTAACACAAGTCGAATCTAAAACATCTACTCTCCTAATCGGATCATCAGATGGTCGACGTTTAATGTGACCAAAACTTAAACGAAGGCCTTCTGATGATCCGACCATCTGATGATCCAATGTAGAGTCCATCAGATGGTCGACGTTTAATGTAGTTCTACTTAAACGAAGGCCTTTAGACTCCAATGTAGACCTCCATAATTCAAGTTTTTCCTGGGTTTTTTCTCTCGTTTTATCCACGAGAAGAATATCATCAACAAAAAACATACACCAAGGTACATCCTCCTGTAGATGTCCAGTAAGACCATCCATAACTAAAGCAAAAAGATA